TAGACACCTATGTCTGAAACTATCAAAATCAATTCACTTGCCTCTTAGCACTTTGGACAACGATTTGTATCAGTTATCACATGTAGTGACAGAATGAGGAAATTAAATAATTCATAGAATTCATATTTTCTGCCCTATCGGCCTAAACTTTTTAGGGACAGCGAAAAACCTCACTTGCTTTTTATTATGGTATGAAATAAATAGGGGATGCGTCCGATTCTTTTTTTTTTCATTTCTAGTTCAAAAATGCCGATGATAAGGACAGTGTCGATAGTTGGAGAGGAGACGTTTACCTCAAGTGTCAAAAGACATGCAAAAGCGAATGGGCCCCGTTCAGAAAATCATTTTCCATTGCTATATAATGTTGAAAACATAAAAAGAAATGCCTGAAAATGAATGAAATCTCATACTTCTTCTCTCACTCTTGGCATGCATATATTCCATCTATTCTAATATAGTTAAAGGAACACGTTGAAAATTGTTTTTTTTTTCTTCCTAATTGCGAAAGATCAAAAATAGCAGACCTGAAATCGCAATTTCCATCCAGTATATTTCTGGTTAGCATTTGCAGATAGTACCTACCTATAGTGTCCCAGTTCAGGTTATGAATCAACGTATCCTTCTAGAATGGTTATTATGAAATTGTTCTCATTCGTCACCCGGTTGCCCTCTTACGAGCAACTATCATGGATTGATTTAATGATCACTTCGTGCTAGATCAAACCTCCTGCTTATCGTTGGAACACTTTCATAGCCAACAGGGTGAGTCAGATTCATGATAAGATCCCTTCTTCGTGCTGGTATCATGTTAGTTCTCAGAAAAACCCAATCGATTGTGCCTCTAGGGGGCACTGATGATCGGTCACACATTTTGGATTCAGGATCCAACTTTGCTCAGTAATCAACATGGGCCTAAAACTCCGCTTACCACTCCTTTACAATACAATACAATACAATTCAATACGTTTATTCTCCATTGGACATTTTTACATGTATAGGAATCGTCTGATTGAAGGCTCAATTAGACAGTTTGAGACAGATACATGAGATAAAATGATAATTATATTTCGATATTACAGAGACAGACACAAAAAGATCATAGGGTGTCAAAAAATATTCTTCTGAAGTATAGGGACTCATTTGCAGTAGAAATTGCTTCAAGTTCGTTTTGAAATGATTGGGAGAGCGTGTAATCTCATATTTACACATTGGAATGTGAATTGTTACATTGTCTTGTGCTTTATACCATATATATTCCTATAAGTAATGAATTTTTCTTTATTCAAAAATAAATAAGTACATGATTCAAATACAAAAACACCAATGACAGTTAAAATGTTGAGGCTATTAAAAATATTTCTGCAAGATTGTCGACTAGGTAGGTATGCCTGCTATCAGCATTCTTATAATTTTCTTATATACAATAAAATCATCCGGTGATTGAGTAGAGTAACCCCGAAAATGTATATCATAACGGATTCGTGAGGAAACTTGAGCATGATAGAGTAACAACATATGTTCTTTTGTTTGTTTTGTTTTTAGACTCCGAAACATATATAACAAAAATAATCCAGTTTCTTTATCAATTTGTTGCAATGGTGTTTCCATGTTAAAAATTCATCTATACCGATTCGTAGGAATGTTAACTCATCAACATTTCCCAGCAGATTACTTTAGAAGCTTCGAATGAAGAAAATGGCATGTCTCTAATTTTCCTCAAATATAATCAGAAGATACTGGTTTCTTCGATTCCTCAACAATCTCAGAGTTGAACCCCCTTTACGTAAAAAATGCCCCCATACTGATCACTGCTAGTGAAACATGATAAGTATGTTTCATCTACTAACGAAATTTCTCGGCTAGAAAGAAACCTTCCTCTTACGAAAACTGTCCAAAAATTGAATCTTCTCTTTGGTACTGAATACGATTCCAGATTCGGAGGTCGCCTCCATTTTTCTGGTGTTTCCTATGAACACAAACATTTTGCCCTTCTCCCAAACTTTCAAGGATCAACTAGTCTGATTATCGAGATGTATCTATCATATTGACTCCATGCATCCAGGCTTACGTATCTTACAATGTATGTCAGCCCTTAATTGACTTCTTGGATTCTATTTTCTCGCCGTGCTATAGCACGAATTCTCTCTGAATGCATGCACTCTGTTACAAAATCAGACATATTATCTTCGAGCCCCCCGTAGGTAATTTGCCTTATTTCCGCATTTATCAACTGGAACCTTCCACAAAAGGCTTACATATATGCATACTTGTGTGTTTCGGCACTAAAGCTGCGCCGAGAATAAGCCTATGATCCTTGAACTGACGCTTTTTCGTTTTGCTTGCTGCTCTAAGACGACTTATTAGTCGTAGGGGTTGTTGCACCCGTATCTTTAGCGATAATGGCGGAAACTTCGTCGGTTCTATTCGCACCTGACCTCATGTAACATGCCTCAGAACAGAAAAAAAATTGAATTTTCATTTATTGCACCCACTTCACCCCATTTCAATGGTCTGAGTAAAGCAAGAATTCAGTAAGTGAAGATTCACCTCTTGAAAGTGCTTGACAGTCACGCCCTTATCACCTAGGAGGAATTTAATACTGTCTTAGTCTAGGATCAGGCTATATCGAACTTTCGCCACTTTTATCCTATGACTTCAATGTCCCCACTCCCGGACATTTCCTCACTCTCGAACCTGTAGCATGTTTATCAGATCTTGAACTTACTACCTTGAATATAAACTGTCTCGATCTCTTTCAATTTTCACAAAGGGTTCATCAGGATATTTGAAAGCGATGGCAAGCAGAGTATCTGCATTCTTTGCAACAAAGGTCGGAGTGGCTTCATGACTGAAAACCAGTTACAGTAGGCGACTTAGCACTCATTCAAAATGAATTGACCTCCACACCAATGACAATTGAAGAGAATAAGAAAGCAACACCCTGATGGTATAGATGGCATAGATGGCATCACTAAAGTGGTGACATTGCATACTGCTTAAGGAATTCAGCAGAGGCCCTGTGTCATTACATAAATTAAAATAAGTTTCTTCATATATCCTCAAATATTCATATTGAAATTACGGCGCATCACTTATGTTGCCGAATGCACTCCAGAACTGTCCAGAATGGGGAATCCCCGTCTCACCGCGAAAAGCTAAAGAGAAGAACTGGCAAAAACTCATTCGAGGCTCTATATTCGGTATTGGTACAATCATGATCGCACTGGACCCCAAATCCTCTATTTCTAAATCGCTCCGAAATATCTCAAAATAAGCGCGAGTGACCCTTCTCAAGAAAACTTACAGTCCAGTTTCCATCCTATGAAGGCGTAATGAAGGCCTCCAGCAGAGGACCTGGAGAAAATCTACAGGAATAGACCAGGTGAGAATTTGATTATCCTTAACTGAACGGCTGCCATTATACTCGGTTCAAACACATACACTTTCCACACATTGGAATTTCAATTGATGAGAATTTTCATGTTTTGCTATTTTCTGTCTCAGAAATCACCCTCATACACACAGTGGCCTGTGCATGAGAGTCCTGACTTCCAACAAAAACATAAACCCTCAGTACATATATTTGGCAGAAGCATTAGCTTCTCCACAGATATGCTATGTTTGTTTTTTGTTATAGTAAGAAATGGTACCTGGTCAATTCGATGAAAGCATCGTGAATTTCAACAGTTTCCTCAACAGTAGTTGACTCATGCGGATCTGTGTGAGAAGGAAGGCTTTTGGGAAGAGTGTTAATACCTTCTTTTGGAGTCAGTGCAATGAAATAGACGATGAGTCATCTCCCTGCAGTTGTTGCACCCTGTTATCGATCGTTTTCCTGAAATCTAATAACATGAAAATCTCTTCAGAGCACGATTCCATGTACATCATTGAACTAGTTTCGCCTCCTTCCTTATTCCTTTTATTTGATCGAACTGGAAAATTTAATCTTGAAAAATCTTGATATGATGCTTCATTAGCTACAAAATCTCGTTTGGACATTTTCATCATGAAATACTGTCGTTCAAGACATGTTTGCTCCTTCTCTAATACGATTCCAGGAGATGCGCGATGATGTAAGGTATTCTTATATGCTGCAGGCTCATTGCACAAGAAACAAACCTGAACATGTAGCGCTGAATTCGCGTTTTGTGCAGTTTTTTCCACTATAAGTTTATATTGAAAAAGAGTTCATTCAATCGATGTCACAATCTGAGCACAATCGACCCTATCTTGGTGCCCTGATGAAACAAAAGTCGATGACGTGATATGACGTCAATGTCCGCGAACGTGTTAACTTCAGTTCAACCATAGATATACGAATGAATCTATCTATACCCTCTGGAATATTCAGAATATACATTTTTGACGGAATTTCATACGAAATTATTCGTATACATGAAAAGTCAACGTTTGTTCGTAGCTAAATGTAGACATTTACATGAAAGATATATGTGCATGCCCAGTTTTATGCTTTCTTCGGGATGGGACCGTGAATAACTTCTATATTTTGTAAACTATAGGTATTGGTTATTGAAAGCCATTTTGGATTTTTGAAATGATTATATTTACATAAAAAAATTGCTCGGACCTATAAATCTATACGTGAAGAAGTAACATATTTTGAGGTGCCATTTTGATATTTTCTCGATTTTGGGGACAAAAATAATTTTCCGACGTGTTCCCCTCGCTCAATTATTGCAACATACAACATACCTATTCATGAAATTCTCATGCATGATGAGTTTCATGCTCTCTTCCGGATGGGACCGTGTCCTCCGTTTTTTGGAGCTAACAAGCCGTACCTACTATACATAGGTATATTATATTATAAACCTCAAATACTCATATGATGAAAATGCGCTGCAGGCATAAAATATTTTACTTCAGGTTTGGTGGGAAGGGGTCGGATCAAATACAAAGGAATAGTATATTACACACCAATGTGTGATATTTATCCTATTCTTTAATCTGTTTATACCTATGTCGAATGGATAACTCACCTAATATCGCTGCCAGGTACTGAAAACTGGGATTTCCAGTAGCTTCAATATCTGTGATGACCATCGAACATGAGTGATGAATTCTTCTTAGTCAAGTTTGTTAGGTGTTCTGGAAAAAATAATATACCTCATTATTGTATTCAATATGCTATACAATGTTGTCATAAGCAATATCACATAATGATCTGAGTATTCGAGATGATGGGTCTGTTTCAGTGAAGAATTGTATTCCATTATTTCGAAGTGCTAGTTTACTGTCGCAAACCGTTTTTTTTTTTCAGAATTCTGTACATTCTTTGAATAATTATTGAATTTCACGATATTTTGTTACATCAAAGACGCGGAAAAACGCGTGATATATTCATCCGAAAACATTCGACATATACGTATCGATTCTCCTTGTCTGTAAGACAAGTGCAAGAATATATTTTATTTCTGACTGGTATATTATAAGCTTATATCATCTTAGTTACACTATCAATTAGCAGGGTCATAATTCCCTTGGGATGTTATAGATGCTATAATTCCCTCTAGCTAAAATTAAATAAGAAATGCATAGCAACAACCACGCAATAACGTAGCAATAAGGAATCTCCTATTCGCGGTAGTCAAGATCATCATCTGACGTTCTGATGACATTGAAACTATACGGAAAAATATATCTAACTTCCAATCGTGAAGGTATCTAATGAATGAAATCAGTCAGAAATAAAATTATCTATGTATCATGGGAATTATAGAGCCCTTATAACCTCTGGCAATTGCTGTCCCTCGGGCCAGAGGCCCTCGGGACGCAAACTTTGCCATCGGTAATTAAGGCCCTCATAATTCCCTTAATACATAATAGTTATTTATGTATCAAGGGCGTAAAGTAGGCGTTTATGGCCTGTGGCGTGAATAATGGCCCGATGGCGCCAGCCGAGGGCCATTACACGCTCAAGGCCATAAACGCATTTCACGCACGTGATACATACAAAATTTTATGCACTAGTGGTTTATTTTCTGACTCAAAAGTAATGACTATAGATTGCGATAAACTAATATTCCCCCGAATTTGATTTGTTGCGTATGAATTCAGTAATCAAGAGAAGCGTAATGTTCATGGATGATTTACATATGAAAATTATCGTACGAATATTGCAATTATCGTAATAGTAAAACTCTTTGATCTCTAGAAGAGATTCATTCTTCAGAATTTCACAATATGCATACCCAGTATATATACCTAACTAATTTTGACGTTGTCAATCAAGCTGATGGTTGTTGTCTATATCAATACATCCAATCATCCAATAAACGAGCTGAATTGTCATTCTTTGACTGAAAAGTAGAAATTAGTGATAATAATAATAATAGCGATAGATATGGAATCGGATAAAGAAGAAGTTCATGATATACCGCTGGATATATTAGAATCTAGGAAAATGATCATAGGTTTTTCATGAATTGATATGTGGACATAAGGTAACTGAGAACAGCGGGCGGTAAAGTGCACTTTACGGCCCGTGGGCCATAATGAGCCCGCGGGCGGTAAAGTGCGACTTAACGCCCGCAAAACCGGGCGGTAAAGTGCACTTTACGGCCCGCTAGTGCATAAATAACTATTATGATTGTCATTTTGATCAAAATATGCAAAAAGTTCGCCTCCTCAGAAGGTGCTCTCACTAGACTCTAGTCAATTTGCTGGACTGAATCTTTACAGCAGATAACAGAGAACACAACCACAGATTTACAACGGAAAATTCAGATAATAAAAGAGAGTTATTTGAATATTCGAATCTTGACTGAACGAAACCAAGGGTTTGAAGATGAAGGTGATGTAGGGAAGTTAGGTGGACAATCTATTTAGTTTTTCTTCTTCTTCTCTTTATGTATTTCTGGGAACTACGCATCACGTTTTGCCAGTGCGAAATAATTTGAATTAAATTAAATCTCGATAATTATTATAGGAATATGAGGATATTTCTATTGGTTCTAAAAGCTTATTGAAAGTATATATAATTAGTCAATGAGTAATTATTATGGACCAGGTCAAACTATTGACTACTAGCTACAAATCTGGAAGCGTCTGAATGTGATGCCACTTACACTCTCGAAAATTACCTAATGCGACATAGCGAGCACCAAGCACTAAGCACTTTTGAAAAGGATGATACTGTTATACACTCAAAAAAAGTTTTTGATATGGTTTTTGTTTGTTAACTCAGACGCCTACCTTGACCGTCGCTTTTCAATGCAGCCATAAAATATAATATATTGCGTGTGCGGTACACTGAGACCTTATGCTCCGCAACAAATCCTAAACAAAACTGAATTTCCAAAGATGCATAATATGGAAGCGATCAAAAGTCTTGAGTGGAAATGCTACTGGTCACGTACAAAGTCACACTTATGTGGGTTCCGGGCATGAAGGAATCAAAGGAAATGAGGCAGCTGATTGCCTTGCAAAAAAAGGTGCAGCATCTGCACTTTTTGGTCCTGAGTCTTTTTGTAGGATAAGCAAATGTCACCTGAAGGAAGAACTCAGGAAATCGGAAGACATTGAAAAGTCCTCCTACTGGAGAGCAACTCCAGGTCAACGACAAGCGAGGAGGTTTATCAACCATTCGCAGAATCGAGCCAAAGAGCTACTCAGCCTCAGCAAACCAGAGCTAAAGCTTATCACAGGCTTTCTCACAGGACACGGCCCTCTGAGGTACACCAAAAAAAGATGGGCCTAGCGGAGACTGACACTTGCCGCTTTTGTAACAATGCGACCGAAACCGCGGAACACATACTTTGCTCATGTGAAGTATTAGTCCGCCAAAGGCTGAACCACCTAGAACAGGTCTATCTCTCCCCTGCTGAGGTGAAAAATTCAACCGTTAGGAAAATTGTAGGCTTCATCAGAAGTCCAGGGTTGAAGGACCAAAACCAGATAAGGGTAATCACAATAGATCTTCTAGGTCGCAGTGATCGAGAGGTCTCCCAGCCTAAACGACCCATCTACAATATACAATCTACAATCTACTGGTCACGTCTTCATGTTTCGACAAGCATAGTAAGTATGGAAAGGCTTAATGCTTAGTAATCCCGAAAAGTGCGAAGCCTGTTCGTAAAATGCTCGAAGCACTAAGCACTAGTACAAGAAAGTGCTCGGGAGCACAGTGTTTGTGAAAACAAAAGTGATTTGAGTGCTTCTACGAGCACTAAGCATAATCAGTGTTGTTCCATGCTGTACAATTGTACAAAATGATGTGCTGTCGAAGATTGATGTGTACATTCCTACAACATTCGTTCAAATGAGTGAAATGTACAATTTCTGATAAATTCCAAGAATTGAAAAATGATGATAAAAGGAATTGAGTTCACATGACGTTGCTGAAGACTGAAGAGAAACATTATAATGACAAAAAGAAGGCTGGATAGTTTTGGTACCTTAGGCTAATCAAATTGGAGAAAAAAAAAAGAGATAGACAGCTAAGAAAAAGTTGCGCTGATGGTATCTAGTGACATTCGATGCATTCGACATTTAACATAATTATTAATTATATAATATTATTTTCCATTCAATGGATGAATGGAAAGTTTTTGTATCAATTATTATTCACAGATGAAACTTTTCCATCAACTAGGCAGAAAACCAGAAATCATCTGTATTTTTGTGGTATTCTTTCATTTAGATTTAAAATGTGATTCTGATCACCCTGGTGAATTATCCAGAACCAGCTCTTGTTTCAAAGAAATGGAAAACATATTTCCAAAAATGTTTCTCATTATTTTTAATTTCCTGCCAATTTCAACTATCCTGAATAAGTTGCACAATTCTTGCCGAAGTTGAGACAATGAGAAAGAGAACTATGACAATATGTTCAGAACAGAGTGGTATTTTGCTAGACTATTTCACGTTCACGAAGCATAAAAAGCATTTATGATGAATTAGCGATTCATTCTGAGTACTACAGCTATAATTATTTTATGCCAAACTGACAAACTTTGCTTCTCTTTCCATGGGTTCATCGTTGAAACCACCGACGCTAGTGATTTCACGATATAATAAGTTGTATCTGGCTTGTGATTTGTCAGATCATGTGATGAGTGAAATAGTCACCAGTATTTATTTCGAATCTTTAGATCTACGTGACTGTCTCAAGTAACTTGAATCATATAGAAAACCCCGCACAAAAAGAATGAAACTCCTTTTGTCTCGTACCGAATGTCTCGTACCGAAACTGTCATGGCCATCTGAAATATTGAAGCATACTATAAAATCCGATAGATGATAGTTAGATAATGTCGATATTTCAAGTCAGTTGCCAGTATCTTCGTACCGCCATTACTGATTTCTTATTATTTACGTGTGATGTACAGTTCATATTTCTTTATTTTTTCGAGATATGCTGTTATCTGTTTCAGAAATGGGATCATCAATATCCAATCAAATCTCAAATAAAGTTACCAAAGGCAGAGATTATACACTCCCCAAAGGAGAGTTATATACATATAATTAAATGAATTTGATTCGGTTAACCTTTATGTAGTGACATTCTCATGTCGACTCCAATAAGTTGTGGTACATATTACATAGTAAAACTGCTTTGCTGTGATAAATGTGAATATGTTGTTATTGGACTTCACAGATTCCTGATAGTAAATGTGAACAAATAGTTTTGAATTGAAGAAGTTACTGGAATCATGTTCTGTTCTCTTTGTTTATTGTATATCAGTAACATGGAAAGGGATTTCTGAACCTCATCGTTTCTTTGCTATGTATTTCTCCAGAAATAGTACAGAGTCAATAACCAATTCAAATTTGCAATTGCCTGTCAATGGTCATGGATGCATGTCAATCAGACTAACTCGACAGGACCAGTCAGCACATCTCTTCGTCGTTAACCTTGAAAAATATAGAACAATACTCTACCAAAACTCATTCGTCTCTAGAACGGCGAAGCTTTGGAATTCTTTAACGTACTTATAATCTCCAGAAGTTCAAAATGAATTCCACCACTCAAATCCTCTTCCAATCCTCCCTACGTACTCGCGATGTTTCACGAACAGAAATTTCCTTTCGTGCGCTTCAAGATATGGAAAAAACCGTATGGTGGCGCTGGTGGCGTTGTTCTGAAC